AAGATATTTTTCTTAGACACGAATATATGTTGCAGATAGATTGCTCGAAAATTGCATTAATTTCTCATTAGTGTTTCCTTCCTATGCTTACTTTTTTATTACTTGACTCTAAATTACTTACTCTATACCATCTCTGTGAATTTGGGGAGCGTGATATCTCGTTTTTGATAATGTGATTATGTGCATATAATCATAATGTCTATATAATAAACTGTCATGCAACTGTTCAGATTCTCTGTCCTAATTTACTCATTTCACATTTTCATATTAATAATGTGTTATTTTTCTTATTAAATGTTAAATTATAATTTATAATGAATAATTATTGCAATGCTTGCATTATAAAGTTTAAGAACCAATCAACATTTCTGTGCCATTTGGCAAGCAATCATCGCGGATCATTTCCTCTTGAAACGGTGGAATAGGGCTCCAGGCGATACCACTTAAAAAAAACGCACTCTTTGCAATGGCCTCATATCAGGGCGGTGTGGAACGATTGCAAAAATTTTTTAAATTGTGTATTTGTAATTTATTTAAGTACCATTCAACTTCAAATAATCATCCATGATAAGAGTGATTCAGAGTCACTCTGTGAAGAAACAAAAACACATATGTAAGATCTGCAAACAAAGTTTATCATCGAAAAAAGTTTAACGATACCACATGAATGTACATTGTAATAAAAAAGATTTTATGTGCGGGGTATGTGGATTGACGTTTACCGCACCTTACACAAAAAGTCGTCACTGCAAAACACATGCAGTACTATACTACTATAGCAAGGTAGGTGTTACTACATAACATTTTAYACATTATACATAACATTATATACTATATATTAATTACTTCTATAATTTTAATAAATAAATAATAAACACTAGTTTATTTCTACATTTTTAAGTACTAAGACAGTACAAGTTATGATGTTGATGATGATGATGATGATGATGATGATGATGACTAACCATTTTATTTATTTGTTATAGCTGTGTCAGTTTTTCAAGCCAAAAAAAACTTGAAGTACCATATGCCCTAAATGGTTTGCAATGAACAGAAAAAACATCAAAATGATAATACATAATAATAGTGGTAGTATATTTAATGAGTAAAAATGACCCTCATGGCAGTCAACGTATTAATGAGAAAAAAAATGTATATATTGTCCAATATTTGCAAGACGTCGGTTCTCATTGATCTGAAATGAAAAAAAATCAAATTAGGTCCTCCACCCTATACATTCTCATTTGGAAAAAAAATTTAAATTACATTAACTTAAGTATATAGGTACCTTTTATAAAATATATGGACTTTTTATTTTAAACGCTCCGGTGTGCTGTCTATTTCTGTGATTGGTTTTGGCTTTATAGGGGTTACTAGGGTTGATTCATGGACAGTAGTGTATATTAAATTTTGAGAAAATGAATCGTATATAAAGTGGTTAGTTAATATTTTAATTTTAGATTTGTAAGAGAAAAGACTATTTTCATAATAAGTTATTAATTCTGAGGAGGGAATTTGAAAATTTTGAACAGT